GTTTGGCCATTATTTACTTTCTTCTGGTCCACTCCATTGATTTGAGTCCCAGTTTCCTTTTCATCGCTATTGGTTTCCTGTGCATTTTCATTCATTTCAATTAGTTTTGCCTTCATATGTTTCTCTAATTTGTGGCTATAATCAACCAGTTCTGTGAGGATCCTGATCACCAGTGTTTTAAACTGTGCGTCTGAGAGTTTTACTATTTCTTTGTCGCTTAGATTTATAGGCTCTGGGCTTTGAGATCTTCTTGAGCCATTTTTGGTCTGTTCGGCGCGTTAAGTGTGAGGGAGGAGCCTTGGACTCCCAGGTTGCTGGGTTGTGACGCTGTATGTGGAGGGTGGGGTCAGGGCAGGAAAATGGCGGCGCCCACCACTGCCGCTGCTGTGGGGACCCTCTGGTCCCGGTCCAATCACCCACTCCCTCGCTTGTCTATCCACACACAAATGTGCGACCACAGTCAACCCGCAGCCCTGCTCCCCTCGCTGTTTCCCCGCGGTCGCTGGTCGCTCACTAGGTCCAACCCTGCGCCTGTGGTTCCGAGCGCCTGAGTCCGTCTGACCGAGTTTTCCTGTGCAACCCCGCTCCACCAGCTGCTGGTTTCGCCCGCGTACCGGTCAGGCTGAAGAATTTGTTGTTAACAGACTTCCGAAAAGTTCAATTTTCTGTGTTCTGGGTGTGTTTTCTGTTGCTAATATTTAGTTGTCTCTAAACTTGGTTGTGTGAGAAGGCAGCGCGTCTTCACCTATGCCTCCATCTTGGCGGAAGTCCGAGAATAACTTCTAAGTAATGTTATTATGTGCGAAAAGTATCCTGCAAAACAGAGTATCTTAAAAAAAAAAAAAACAAAACTCAGGCAGAGGACATGCAGAGGACAGACACAGGGACAATGTGCCTGGATCAGGGCCTGGACAACGTGGAGGGGAAAACTTGCTTTTCCTTCATGTCATTTGGAATGTTATGTTATTTGTTTTCTCCTTTACATAAATCTATCTATAGTTATTTTTTGTAGGTAAAAAGAATGGTTGAGAAGTAGTTGGTTCTATATGTATGTGTTTAAAAGTGACTCAACAGAAATTCCGCACATCCTCGTTACATCTAGTGGCCCGTGCTGCCTTCCTTATCTGAATAGCACCTTGACCACCCAAAGTGTCCGATTTGCATCCAAAGCCCTATTCCAGCAGGAATATTTCCATAGTACAAAATATACAGTGTCACACAGTTACTGTTTGAGAGGTGAAAACCATTTATTATGAAAACAATGAATTTTATATTTATGTATTGGATCCAAGGCCAAGGCGCTAATACGTGTCCCAAGCGTGCACCTCTGCTGCCATCTCGTGGGAATTTGGGGGAATTACATCTTAGTACAGGTCAGCAGGAAAACTGGTTGATTATAGTGGAATATCCGTGACTGTCGATTTTTTTAAAACACCGTTTCGAGGTACAAGTCTCAGGTCCTAATGTCAGTGAGCAGTTCCTTGGGGTCACTTTCTATGAGCACATCATCTAGACCAGACACTGGATTTGGGAGTGCACCATTGATTCTTTTCCTTGATTGTATCTTTAAATTACTCTTTGTGTATACAAAAGAGCAATTTATTTCTGCACATTATCTACCACACAATTTTCTAAATTGTATTATATATAATAATTTTAAGTTGATGTTCTTGCATTGTCAAGGTAAATAAAATATTATACAATAATAAAATTATGTTAGCTTAGCTGTATAAAGCATGAAAAATCGTTAAACCTTAGAATAAAACATGAAGACAAGTTAAACATGTGTTAGTTATAAGTTCATTAATAATTAAATAAAATAGTAATATGATGCTTAGCATTGTAAGTGAGTTCAGGACCTGGAGCAGTGGTGTTTTAGAAATCAGAAGTATTTTGTAAGTAAAATTGTGCCCCTTGTAGGTTATCTGAGGAACTCACAATGTGGCAAATGTCCACATTTTCAAAAAAGAGAACATTTGATGGTGAGTTATAGAATCTAAAAGAGTAAGATTGTAGATTCTAAGTAATTTTAAGAAATGATTATTGCAAAGTGATTTATGGACAGTGAAAAGGGACAGTGACCCTTAGTGCTGTGGTTTATCACAGTGTGGTACAGTGTCTTAAGGTGTCATATCTTCCTTGGCTTCTGAGTTTTCATGGGTGTCTTCTTAGCCAAGGACATTCCCCTCCAGTCTTTGCAACATGGCTGGCATTTGTATTTATTTATTTTGCTGTTGTTCTTTAGCTCTCAGCCTCCAGGTTGCCTGTCCAGAGGGGAGGCGTGATTTCAGACTCTAGGGTGCAAAGTCACATGCTGTTTGTATTCTAATGGACTCTCCATCCTGCTCCATAGAGAGTAGGGTTTCTCATTGCTGTGGATAATATTTTCTCCTGGGGGATTTTTCTACACATTGTAGGTGCTTTATTAGTAATTCTTACCTCTGTTCAGTGTGTGCCAGTAACTCCCACCTTAACCCCACCCCAAGGACAGTGTGAATGGTCTCCATACAATGTGTCAAATGTCCCCTTGGAGGAAAAGTCAACCTTAGGTTGAAAACCACTGAATTTGAAGCTGTTATCATCTTTGGAACCTGAGGGATCTGTCCTTGGTAAGAAGTGTTTTTGCTAGCATTCCATGCAAATTATTTTCTAACTGCAATTGTGAGTTATTTTTGGGGGTGGTTACTTAGAAGTATATTTCATAATTTGTAAATATAAGTGCTTTCTAGTTATGTGTTGTTACTGATTTCTTGATTAATGGCAGTGAAAGCAAAAAATATATACATGTTTATATATACACATCTATGTGTGTATATACATATATAAATATATAAAAATATGTAAATATATATAAATTTCAGTCCTTTAAAGTTTGTTGGAACTTGCTTTAGACCACATTATGGTCAGTTTTAAAAAAAATTCCCAGGGTGCTTGGAAAGCATCTGTAATTTCCAGTTTTGGGGTGCAGTGAAGTACTTATGCACACTGAATGCCATTTTTTCTCATGTTATTTTTAAAATATTTTTACTATTTTTGTGGGCTTTATTGGCTCTGAAACAGAATCTGAATGATAGAAGTTGGTTAAATCTCCTATTATGATAGTTAATTTGTGTATTTTCCATGCAGCTCTGTTTCATATAACTTAGAGTTTATGTTATTAAGTGAATAAAAAATTTGGAACTAACTGGTACATTGAACTTACTGATATGAAATACTTGTCTTGATTTGTAGTAGTGGTTCATTTTTTGCCTTCAAGTCTACTGTCTGTTATATAGTTTTCATTTGGTTCATGTTTGTATAGTATATTTTTTCCCATTCTTTCACTTTAGATCTCTTGGTATGTTTTAGATAGTGCTACAGGAAAATGAAGCAACCAGACACTGAGGGATTCTGGAGTACGAGGTTTATTAACGTGCACGAGCGCAGAGGAGTCAATCTCCAAATTTTGATCCCTGAACAAAGGATTCTTGGGGTTTATATAGTCTATGGGGTCTTCCTGTCTACGTAGCAAAGCGGGATACAGAAGCGGAATTCGGAAGTTAGTTCTAGCTACGTGGCAGAAGCAAAGTACAAAGGCTAAATGTGAAAATTAGTTCTAACTGCAGGGGTGCTAGCCCTAGCCCTTGTGACTATCCTGCTGTTTGCTTTTCCCAGACGGCCTTATCGCTCTCCCAGGGCGCTTGGGATTTGGGTGAACAAAGGTCTTCCAAAGCTTCCCACTTCAATAGCTCTCAGCAATTTATGTTAGTGATGAGTGGCTATTGAAATCAGTTAAAGAATTGATTTTGGTGGAGGATGTAATATAGGGGGCCCCACATTTTTTCCCATTCAGTTGTTCTAACACCTTTTATTACATCTCAGATATTTGTGATATTTGAGATATTTGTGATGTCTGTATTTTTCCCACAGATCTAAGGATAGATCTTTGTTGTAGAGAATGACCACGGCACCTCACATCATTGCTGCCCCATTTATGCTCTTCTGTGGGTTAGGGTTTCTGACTTTCTCCTGTGCGTGAGGTTGTCCTGGCTGTGTATGTTTTACATTTGGCTATTTTTATTTGCTAATCTGTGTCATACCTGTTGAATTATTAGAGCAGCCCAAAGATTCTTGAGGTTCCAGGAAAGGTTGTTTCCCCACCATGTAAGCAAGCAGTCAGGTATTTAATATGAGGTGAATTTGGGGAGTACATGCATGTCACCATTTACTTAAGTAAGATTTAACAATTTAAGTGAAGTAACTGATTCTCAAAACTGAATGACTATGTCAGTGAAATAGGGAACAATGTACTAATGTAGCTCTTGGATATAAAACTTCTATGTGAAGTATCAGGGGCGGTCATGAGAGGGCCAGCATTTTGCACTTGGCATGTTGATGTGAAACTGGCCATTAGGAAAGGGGACACTGAGAAATTCTTTAGGATTGTCATCTCATTTCTTCCTAAGAGATTTAGTTGCCACAGTTTGGTTTAGGAAGAAAGCTTCAGCACAATCACCTCAGCTTCAGATAGTAAGACTCCTAGCAAGAGCTTGTTGACCCTCTTACTGTACTCCTTGTGTCTTAAAGTTGTGGGATTTGCTCAACAGAAATCAACCTGGACGGTATGCTGCCTTCTTTTCTAAATTACCTGGATGTCCCTCCACTTGACCTTTGAAATCTCAGACTCTGTTCTTCCATTTTTCAAAATTCCCCATGTACTCAGTATTACCTCATTATGTTTGGTATTCATTTTAACATGAATTTCCCTTGCCCATGTAGTAGATGTTGAATTCCTCCCATCAATCAGATTATGTGAATTTGATTGTTATTCCAGCTGTTAGAACTTAGAAGGTATGACAAAAATAAATTTTTATTCCCTCACAGGTTTTGTAAGTCGGCCGTGTGACATTCATGGCCAGGACACTAACATCTGGAAAGTGCAGCCTCTGAGAGATCATGGACATCTCCCGGCAAGAGTAAGCATTATTATTATTTTTTGCTCTGTCAGCCTTTTTGGTCTATTTCTACAGGGCTTGGTATAATTTAGTAGTGCTGGGAGTTATTTTCTTCCATTGTACACCTACATTGCCATGAAAATCTTTTTTGAGGCCAGCTGCTCGGACTTAGGAGTCAAGAATCGGTGCTTTATTGGCTCCTGGCTCTGTTTACATTGTGAGGACTTGGTTCTGCTCCTGCATCTGGCAAGTGGGCTCCATTGTCCAGCTTCAGCTCTGGGGTCTGGCTGTGGGGTCCTGGTTCCAGATCTGGGTTCTGTCTCCTGGGTCTGTGTTCTGGGGTTGAATCTGTGTCTGTGTGTCTGGGATCTGGAGTCTCTTCGGGTCTGGCTTCGTTGATATGGGAAGCTTTGAAGAACCTTTGTTTAACCTCTATTTGCCCAGGCCCCAGGCACCCTGGGGAGAATGATGGGGCTGTCTGGGATAACTAAACAACGGTGCATTAGCTAGGGCTCAGATTAGCACCCCTGCTGTTAAAAACTGACCTTTGAATTTAGCCTTTGTACTTTACTTTCGCCTCATAGCTGGGACTGACTTCTGCATTCCTGCTTCTGTATCTTGCTTTACTGCCCCGAAGGTCATGTAAACCCCAAGAATCCTTTGTTCGGGCCTCAGAATTTGGAGACTGACTCCTCTGAGAGCACGTGCACGTTAATAAACCTCGTACTCCAGAAACCCTCGGTGTCTGGTTGCTTTATTTTCCTGCAACATCGTGTCCTGGGTGGGTGTGCGTGGTCTATGTGCAGCTCTGACTCTTAGCTCTGATGTGTGGAATCTGGGGTCCAGCATTTGCTATCAGTCCCTGGTGTCTGGGGTCTGGCATTCAGGGTCCATGGTCTGGCCTGGGTCGTGGGGACAGTTTTGGGATGGGGGGCGGGGTCTGAGGTTCAGCTTTTGGTTCTGAGTCTGCTCTGGGGCCCAGGTTCTGGAGTCTAGGGCCTGTGTCTGGTTCTGAGTCTGTCTGTGACATCTGGTGTCTGTGAACTGATGGTCATTGGCTCCAAGTCAATGCCAGCAGGAGTTCCAGCGTTGGGGTGTGGGGAAGAAGGAAACTCTGTTTAGTGCAAATAGCTCCGTTTTGGTACTAATGGATGTGAGTGCTGCATGGCTGTTAGGAAGCTCAGTGTTGTTCAGGTGAATCATGAAGCAGCCCCTGTGTGGGTCAGCCCAGTGCTGCTGCTGCTTAGTTGTGAAGCGTCTTGGTTATGAGGGCCCCAGCCCAAAGTGAGGCAGCCCCAGGGCAAGTTCCCCCTCAGGCTGTGCTGCCCAGCAGGGCTCTGCTCATTCAGGTCTGGTCCTGTCATTTCCTCTCTGTTCAGCTGCATTTGCACACAAAGAAGCACACTTTGGAAGAGGGGCCCCTCTGAGTGAGGAGATCAGCTGGGGAAGCAGAGAAAAGGCCTCTGGTGTTGTTTCCACAACAGTCTAGGTTATTATTGCTCTTAAATTATGCCAAATTTTCCTCTTGTACTGTTTTTTTTCCCAAACTGAGAATGGTTTTTTCTTTGTGGCAGTTTACTTGAATTATACGGAAAAATAAAAATAAATTCAAAATCCCACCCAAACAGGTAATAGCTGCTATTGTTTTAAGTATATGTCCTTCCAGACATCTCTCCTTGTCTATTTCCTTCTTCTACTTTCTCTGGATTTAATTTATTTTTCTTGGTTTGTAATATGGATGCAAAACATGTGAATTTTCAACTGTTTCCCCCTAATGTGCAGATTTATTCCTACATTTTCCCATAGGTTTTTAAAGTATTTTAATATTGTTCAGTTGAAATTATTTTTTTAACTCCAATTGTGATTCGTTTGGAGGATTACTTAGAAGTGAATTTCATAACTTCTAAATGTAAGAAGTTTCTGGTGACCTTTACAGCTAATTTCTAGATTATCTACAATAGGAGCCAGAAACTTCATGTAATTTTAATTTTTTGAAAAATTTGTGAAACTTCATTACAATGTGGTCAATATTAAAAAAGTTCTAACTGTGCATCTCTGCTGTCAGCTCGTAGTCATTTTGGGAATAACACCTTAGGGCAGTTCATTAGGAAAAGTTGTGCGTAGTGGGTTATCTGTGAATGCTGAATCCAATTTGTTGCTCATGGTGTTTCTTATATCCTCACTGAATTTTTTAAGGTGGTCTCTGAAAGGTTTTCCTTAGGCTCCTCTGAGAAAGAAATGCTAGTCAGCCACAAAGTCAGGCAATAAAGAGCTTTATTGGGGTTTGTGTGCCCAGGCGAGGTTCCCTGGTCTGCAGAGTGGGGTTGGGGAAGTCGCCTTGCGAATAGGGAAAATGGCAGGGTTTTACTTTCATGGGCTCCCTGTGGGAGCTGGGGATTGGTCTCCTCCGGACAAAGCAGCATTTTCCTCTGACTCCAGGTTGCTCTGCAGATAATCTGTTTTGGCAAAGCCCACACTTCCGGCTCTCTGGTTTGACGTCAGCCGTCTTTTCCGGATTGTAGTCTGGCCGCCATTTTTATTGTAGTCCAGTCGCCATGTTATCCTACCCTTCCCATCCTGACAGTCTCTTGTTTCTGAAACAGGTATGCTGTATTTCTGATGAGAGGGGTTTGTTAAATCTATTATGACTATACATTTTTGTTTGTGTCTCTGTTGTATATAATTTAAGTTTATGACATTGTTTATGCATTTGGATCTTCTTGGTAAAATAAACTCATTGATATGAAGTGCCCGCCATCTCTAGTCATGCTTGTTACCTTGAAGTCCACTGCATGTTATTATGTAATTTTCCTGTGGTTTATGTTTGCACAGTAGCGGGTGGGGCAAAAGTAGGTTTAGAGTTGTGAGGACGAAAAACAAAGTTTATTGTTGTGTTATTATTTAATAATTATGACATTATTGTCCATGTGAACAACTGTAAAGCTGCTTTTGCACCATCCTGTGTGTCTTTTTTCATTCTTTCACTTTCTATGTTTTTTCACCCCATGTTTTAGATCATTCATATTTTCTCCCAGTTTGTGTCTTGTCCTTTTATTATCTGAACTTTTTCAGAGTATTCAATTTCATAAAGTATTCATTATCAATGTATTGCTTCATTACACTGAATGTCCACCAGCGTACCTGATTTCTGGCTGGTTTTGTTTACATGGACCACTAAAAATCAAACCTACAGGTGAGGGGCGGGGTCTAAGGTCAGAGGCAGGACTGGGCTGGAGGTGAGAGGGGGCCACAGATTGGGTGGGGCTAGTGGGAGGGAAATTTAGGCTGGCAGGTGTGAGGGGTGGGCCGTTCTGGTGGAGAGATGAACAACTACACATACTAGAGGTTAGATGCTGCCGGCTGCTGGTCTCCATGGTCACCAGGTGATGCTCACAGCCTAACTGTGATGCAAGTAATGCAGTCCAGGGGCAGGAGGTGAGCTGTATGTGTGTGGGGGCAGATACAGCCACCCTGGGGGGGGGGCAGGAAAGGGAGGCCAGACTGTTTCTGGGGTACATGTCTCAGGTACCATTTAACTACTTCCTGTGGGACCACTTTCTATGTTTATCTAGATATTTCTGTTGTGGATAACTTTGGTAAATGGATATACAAAGATAGTCATTTTTTAACCCCACAACAAGATGATATTTTTCATTTGTTCAAGTTTCTGCTATTACATAGCAATTTCCAATTTCATTCATACAAATCCTGTACATTGTTGTTAAGTTTATTCCCAGGGTTTTCTTTTTTGCTACTCAATGTTCCCATTGAACATTTTTTCTTTTTTGCTACTCATATGAATGTCTTCTGTTTAGAAGGGAGTATTCAAGCTCTTTAAAAATATCAATGTCTGTCTGGCTGGTGTGGCTCAGTGGACTGAGTGCTGGCCTGTGAATCAAAGGGTCACCAGTTTGATTCCCAGTCAGGGCACATGCCTGGGTTGCAGGCCAAGTCCCCAGTAAGGGGGCATGTGAGAGGCAACCACGCACCGATGTTTCTTTCCCTCTGTTTCTACCTCCCTCCCCTTCTTTAAAAATAAATAAATAAAATGTTTAAAATAATATAGGTGTCTCTTCATCAATGAGTCATACAGTTCTTTGTTGTGGAAGAAAGAGTCTGATCGGAAGTATAATGTGGAACCATTCACTTCAGTTCCATGGGTGGTCTTCTTACTCTGCAAATAGCTTCTCCTCCGCCTACAATATTTCAATCAGGAGGACATCACATTTACTCATTTACTTTCATCAATTTTTCTTTCAAAGCGTATACCTCGTTATGCCAGCAGCAACCTCATGTATCTCATGTCTAACGTGCATCATCATTGCATCATTTGTTTGATGTAATATAACTTTTTTATAGAAACCTGCTTTATGGTTTTAGACTTGAGATGATTACATTTCAAGGGGTTTACAGGTTTAAATAGGAGGACACACTGTTCTCAGTGGTATGATGTCCAGAGTCAGGCATCTGGAGTCAGGGACAGGCTTTGGACTCCCAGTCTGCTGTCTGGTGTATGACATGGTTCGGGGTTGGGATTAGGGGTTGGGGTTGTGGTGGATGCTATGACTTGTCTTAACTTCAGTTGAAACCATCCTGTTGCACTGTATCATCATGGGTGTCCTATAAGTATGTGATAAAAAAAATGTCACCACAAGTGGTGAGTGTATGGTTGGCCATTTTCACAGTGAAGATGCATGCAGATAAGCAACATTTTTGGGCTTTGTCATTTCAAGGAAGATACAAGTGCAAGGGTAAGGCAAGAAAAGATCTCTGGTGTGTGTGGAGAAAGTGCTGTGACTGATGGAACGTGTCCGAAGTGGATTGCAAAGTTTCATGCTGGAGATTTCTCCCGCAGGCGGGCAGACCAGGTGACGTGGAAGGCCCTCAACAGCAGATGTTCCCTGAGGACAGAGTATGTCATGGCAGGCAGGAGACAGGCAATGAGTTCAAAGTGTCCTCATCAGGCTTTGAAGATCATTTGCACCAGCTTGGTTTCATTCATCGCTTTGCCATTTGGGCTCCACAGGAGTTCAGCGGGATGGTGGGGGACCCTTTATGAGTGGATTTCCACAAGTGGTTCTTCACTGAAACATAAGGAAAATGTTCCATTTCCATGAAGATTGTGTGTGGAGGGGAAGGATGAATCTGTGGTTTTTGAGAATAATGTGGAATGGGAGAGATTGAGGGGAAAGAAAGGAACCACCACTCACCAAAATCATATTGTGTAAGATTTCAAGGCTGTGATGATGGTTGAACCTTGTGATAAAATCGGGCAGGTAAAAACTTCAGTTTGGCCCCCCACGGTCCCCCACCGCCACACACCAACCCCATCCAATCACTTTGGTCGTGCATACTTGCCTTTATGTCATTGAAAACAATGTTGTTAGATTGCTGCACCAGGACAGGTGGTTTACCAGCTTGCATTTTAAAAAATCTGAATACAACCAGTGAATGTGTGTGTGTCCGTTTTCCCACTGAAGATGGAATAACATGGGCGACCTATTGGGTCCTTTTGGGTTTGTCATTTCAAGAAAGGTAAAAGTGTCACTGTAAGGTAAAGAAAATTTGTGGTGTGTGTGGAGATGTTGCCGTGAGTGACACCACATGTCCGAAGTGGATGGTGAAGTGTCACGCTGGAGATTTCTCACGTGCAGTGGCCCTATGGGTGTGGCAGACCAGTTGCAGTGAAGGGCGGAGGTTCACTGAGGACAGACCATGTCATGGCCTGTGGGAGACAGGCAACATACTCACAGCACCCTAATCAAGTGTCAAAAATCATTTGCAGCAGCAGAGTTAGGTCCATCGCTTTCAAGTTTGGGTTTCACAGAAGTGAAGCGGGGAGGAGGCGGGACCTATCTTGACCAGATATCCACATGAGGTTCTCTGCTGAAAGATAAGGCAGATGTTACATTTCCAAAACTAAATTGTGAGGGGGAATGAATCATGGGTATTTTACAATAGTGTGGAATGGGAGGGATGGAGGGCCAGTCAAGGAACCACCACCATCTTCCTTCAAAGGGCGGTCTTCATGCAAATGAGGTGAGGTTGCCCTTGGAGTGGATTTTGACGGAGTCCTGCAGTAGGAGCTGTTTATGGAAATCCACGAACTACCACAGGGTCAAAAAGAAACAAAATAAGTAAAATACAAAAAAGTAGGACTGCTCTTATTTCACTTGGTTGCCCTTTTGGGCTTGTCTTCATGCTGGTTTCCTCCACATTGGATAATAAAGAAAACTTATTAAAACTGTTGCATGTTTATATGGGTATTTTGATAATGAAGGTGGACGAAGCCAAGGTTTTGGTACACTAGGGTTTGTCAATGGAAGAAGGGTGAAGATGTCAGAGAAACCAAAGAAAAGATGTGGAACATGGAGAAAGTGCTTCGATTAATCTAACGTGTCCTAATTGCCTCATAGGTTGATGTTGGAGATTTGCCAGGGTTCTGAACACATCGGATGGTCTAGTTGCTGCTGAGGCCATCCAGTCCACATGTTGCCTGAGGACCAACCCCATGAGGCCACGCAGGAAACATACTCAACATACCCAAATCCCTTGCTGAAAATCACTGGCACCAGGATGTTTATGTTCATCGCTGGGTTCGACAGCAGTGGACCGGGAAGAATACCTCAAGCAGCATTCGTGACAGCATTTCTACACGGGATGTTCTTCGTGAAGGTAAGGAAAGCGTCGTTCCAACACAAATAGGTACATGAACACTAGACACATTACACGAACATGGCACAGGAGAGACCATGGGGCAGAAGAAAGGACACAGCAGCTGACACTCACACAGGTGGACTTGCTTCGAGGAAGCTGTATTTCTGTGAGCAATAGGTTATGGGCCTGGTGGGGGTTGGAGAAGGGGAGAGGCTAAGGGCTAGAGTCAGAATCAGGAGTCAAGGGTCAGGGGTCTGGCACAGGCTTGGTGATGGGGTTGGGGATAGGGGTTAGGGCCAGGGCCAGGGTCAGGGTCAGGGTCAGGGTCAGGGTCAGGGTGACTTCTCCTCCTCCCCCAGAGGCATCCCATTTCTCTGTGAAACTCTAGATTATTTCTCATCAAAGAGTCAAGTGGTCTCCTACTCATCTGCCTGTTCCCATTTTTTTGCTGGATTCTATGCCCAGACAGGATGAGAACATGGGTGCACACCTGTCGCCTGTCCTGTAACTTAGTCCACACCTGTGTTCCATGCAGGGAAGTGACCCTGGTGACAGAACATGTGAGGTTGGGGATCGAAGCACAGGGTTAGAGAAGAATTACACAAGGATCCCCCCAAAAGTGGCCCTCACATCTTGCTTCTTTACCTCCAAATCCACAGTGACAATGCCCTCATATACTCTGCTCTGTCACAGTCCATGAGAGGCAGTGTGGTGTATGAGAAGCAGATGGGAGTTGTCTCCACAGGCCCCGTGGGACTAGGCCACAGGCCATACACTTCATTTTTACTGCTGTTTTTAAACACAACACTTGCTTTTTAAAAACTAAGATTATTTTAATGCTGTTTTCTTTAGCCACGCAGAAGCTTTTTAAGTTGACGAGGTTCCATTCGTTTATTCTTTCCTTTATATCCCTTGCTCTAGGGGACATATTGGTGAAAATTTTGCTGCGTGGAATATCTGAGATTTTCCTGCCTATGTTCTCCTCTAGGACTTTTATGGTGTTGTGACTTAAGTCTTTTATCTACGTTGAATTTATTTTTGTGTATGGTGTAAGTTGGTGATTGAGTTTCATATTTTTTTTTTGCATGTAGCTGTCCAGATATTCCAACACCATTTGTTCAAGGGGCTACTTTTACTCCATTTTATGCTTTGGCTCCCTTTTTCAAATATTAATTGGTCATAGAGACTTCAACTTATTTCTGCGCCAGTTTGTTCCATTGGTGTATGTGTCTGTTTTTATACTGGTACCAGGCTGTTTTGATTACAGTGGCCTTGTAATACAGTGTGATATCAGGAATTGTGATCCCCCTACACTATTCTTCTTTCTCAAAATTGTTGCAGGTATTCTGGGTCATTTATAGTTCCATACACATTTTTGAAATGTTTGTTCTATGTCTGTGAAATATGTCATTGGTCCTTTAATAGGGATTGTGTTGGATCTATAAATTGCTTTGGGTAATATGGACATTTTGATGATGTTAATGCTTCCAATCCATGAGCATGCTACATGCTTCCATTCGTTTGTATCTTCCTTAATTTCTTTCTTCAGTGTTGTGTAGTTTTCTGAGTGCAGGTATTTTGCATCCTAGTGCAATGGACTTAAAGGAAAGAATAAACAAACGGGAACTCATCAAATTAAAAAGTTTCTGCATGGCTAAAGAAAACAGCATTATAATGAAAAGAGAACCAGCTATATGGGAAAACATATTAGCCAACGATACCTTGGACAAGGGTTTCATCTCGAAAATATATAAAGAACTCACACAACTCCACTCCAAGAAGGCAGATGACCCAGTTAAAAAGTGGGCAAAAGACTTGAACAGACACTTCTCCAAGGACATACAGACGGCCCAGAGACATATGAAAAGATGCTCAGACATATCAAAGAGATGCAAATTAAAACCACAGGGAGATACCACTTCACACCAGTGAGAATGGCCATCATAAACAAATCAACAAACAGCAACTGTTGGAGAGGATGTGGAGAAAAGGGAACCCTAGTGCACTGTTGGTAGGAAAGCAGACTGGTATAGCCATTGTGGGAAACACTTTGGGATTTTCTCAGAAAACTAAAAAGGGAACTGCCTTTTGACCTGGCAATTCCACTGCTGGGATTACATCATAAGAACTCTGAAACACCGATCCAAAAGAACCCATGCACCCCAATGTTCATAGCAGCACAATTTACAAAGCCAGTGTTGGAAGCAACCTATGTGCCCATCAGTAAATGAGTGGATCAAAAACCTACGGTACATTTACACAATGGAATAGTAGGCAACTGAAGGAAAGGAAGCGTTCCTATCCTTTGGGACAGCATGGATGGAATCGGAGAGAATTATGCTAAGTGAAATAAGTCTGGCACTGAGGGACAAATACCATATGACCTTACCTTTAAGTGGAATCTAATCACCAAAACAAACAAGGAAGCAAAATATAATCAGAGGCATTGAAATTAAGAACAATCTGACAGTAACCAGAAGGGAGGTGGCAGGGGATAATGGGTTGAGGGGTGGAAGGGTTTTCGGGAACAATTATAAAGGACACATGGACAACACCAAGGGGGTTGGAATCAGGGGAGGGTAGAGGGGGTGGTGGGGTGGGATGGGGAGTGGTGGGGGGTAAATACAGACAACTGTAATTGGACAACGATAAAATTGTTAAAAAAATAAAAATGTATTTCATACATTTATTGATTTTGAAGACAGAAATGAAGAAAGAGACAGACAGTGAGAGAGAAACATCAATTTGCTGTTCCACTTATTTAGGCATTCTTTGGTAGATTTTTGTATGTCTTATGCCCTGACTGAGGATCAAACCTGCAGCCTTGGTGTATAGGGATGATGCTGTAACCAACAGAGCTACCCAGACAGAACGGGATTGATTAATTTTTTTTTAAGTTTCATGAAATATTTAATCATTTATTTATCTTAATTCAAACCTATACATAATCCCTCCCATTTCCCTCATGTTGTGATTTCTGTTATTGAGATAAGTAATGCTGAAATCCAGAACCAACTGACATTATGCCAATGTTCTCTGAATCTATCCATTTGTCATCTTTGGGTTTTGTTGTGATATATGCAGACAGACTTCTCTTAAACTTGTATGTGGTCAGGTTTATCTATTAGCGCCCACTTGGCCTCCAGATTTTGTTTTCATGCCTTGGAAAGACCTCCTTCCTGTGCTGGGAATAATAGATTTAGGGCGGGGGGGGGGGGAACCAAAGACAAGACAGGAAACCAAGTGGGGATGAAGGGGGAGGAAAAGAGACCTCATACTTTATGCAGTGAGCACTACAGGCACTACACAGATGATGCCTGTTTGAGATGTGGGCTTGCAAATCTACTTGGGCATTTTGTTTTTTAGGAGATACAAGGATTCTTTATTTAATTTAATGACTTTACTTTAAAATCTGTATGGTTTTAGTACTGTGACCCAAATAAATTCAATATTTCGACAAGGGTAGGTAAAAGAAAAAGGATAAAAAAGTTCATCCTTTGTAGCCCCATGAATACTTTCTTCATTTGGGTTTTCCACTCCTCAGGCACAAAACTTTTCCTAGGTCCTCCTGGATCCGGGGAAAGGCTGGGGTCTCTCTGTGGCTTGCTCCCACATGTTTCAGACTTCAGGGAGCTCTTTCAAATCCCCGGTGCCCGGCGAGTCCCGTTTCAGCTGCTGCTACCCTAGAGCTTAAGGTTTTCCAACTCCCGCTTCCACTGCCAGGGTCGCAACGTGCTTGCTCGGAGCTCGGAGGTGGACACCCCGCCACGGCCTGTGTGGGCCGGTTTGTGCCGGCGACGCCTGGGCGTCGGCGCCCGGCCTGTTCCCTGGAGGCTGGACTTGCAGGCACGGTTTGCTCCAGCTCCGGCTGCCCCTGGTGGGCTTCAGCGGCCCTCGCAGGCGCTGCCCCTCCGCCTCCGGTGCAGTGACTGAGTGAGGGAGAGGTTCCGCGTGGAGAACCGGGAGGGTGGCGCCTCCCGCCCGCTCCGGAGGAGGGGCACCTGGGGTGGCGGGACAGGACCGCACGCACCGCCCGCCTTTGCTCTTGTTCTCTGGCCAGCTGCCTGCCACACCTCTGGGGAATTTTTCAAAGTCCCACTACGGTGACCTGCAGAGACAGGCCCCGCCCCAGTTTGCGGACTATCCCGCCCTCCGGGCTGTGCGCCTGGGTCCCGGGCACCCACGGAGACTGTCTTGCCCAGTTTTTCTGAGTCCGGTTCAGAAGGTGGGAACTGGCGCTGGCCGTGCCTGCAGGTTTGTTTGCACAGGACGAAGTGGACTGGGGCAGGAGGCGTCCCTGGGTCCCGGCTGTTGGACTCGATTTTTCTCCGCTCTTTTCTCCGAAGTCCTGATACGACTTCGGGGAGCGCTGGGAGCCATCCTGCGGGTGAGGCAGGCTGGCACCTCTCCTGTCTTGCCTACCGCCTCCTCCTCCTCTTTCTGTCTGCGACCAGTGGTCCTGCATCCCAGGCACCCACGCTGGGGTCTCTGGCCTCTGCCACCCAAAGCCAGTGACTTCACAGGAGGGTGTTGGGCTGCCTGGATGACGGTTGCCCAGGCACCCGGGTTGACCAGTTGACAACCCATACTTACCATTTCGCTCTTCTAGTGTTCTGTACAAGGGCAGGTTCTGCCTTTGCCAGGGCAAAGGGGAAGGAAGGCAGAGGCGGTGCGTGGGGTAAATGTTGAAGCAATTGTTTCAACAATTGTTTTCCAACTACACTTGGTACACAACAGCCTGTTACTTTCAGGTTTTCTGTTTCTTCCTGTGTTAGCCTTGGGAAGGTCTGTGTTTTTAATAGTTAATGTTTTTTAGATTGACAAATTTGTTGCTATATATTTGTTCGCAGTGCTCCTTAATGATTCCTCTTCTGGTCTGTGGTGTTGTTTGAGACTTTTTTTTTTTAAATTTAAAACCTTATTTTGGTGTTCTCTTTTCCCCCCCTGCTCAATGAATCTTACTAAGGGCTTGTAATTTTTATGCATGTTTATA